TATTTTGAGTGTACTATTTTGTGATTGAATTACATTTAAAATATATTTAGAATGTACTTTTATAAAAATCAGAAGTTTGCTTCTTAAAATGTGAAGCAGTTGTTTACAAAATGTTCAAAGAAATTTTATTGCACTAAATGAGAAGCACAAAGTTCACCTTGAAGTGTTACACAATGACCTGTCAGCCTGGAAACACGTCACTGAAAGGAAAGTGAAAGTATTTTTAACATAGAGGAACAGAGCTGAGACGCCATTACAGGGTCAGAGTTTTAACTGAAACACAAAGGTTTAATCTAAAGAGAAAGAAGAAACTTTGACTGGGTGAGTTCTGGGACTGAGAGATTTCTGTAGAAAATGGCAGAAAATACTGTGGTTCTTGAAAGTTACCTGAGCTGCCATGTTTGTTCAGAGACTTTCAGAGATCCTGTGTCTCTGAGCTGCAACCACAGCTTCTGTTCAAGCTGCCTGAAGGAATTCTGGGAACAAACTGGAAACAAGAACTGTCCCATCTGTAAAAGAAGATCATCAAAGGTGATTCTGCAGGTAAATTTTGGACTGAAGGAACTGGCTGATTCTTTTACTGGAAGACAGAAATCCGGATCATCAGAGACAAAAAAAGGAGAAAAGCAGCTGATGGTCTGCAGTGAACACCAAGAAGATACTAAACTGTTCTGTAAAGACGAGCAGAGAGCTGTGTGTCCTGTCTGTGAGTTTTCTCTCCACCAGAGTCACAAAGTGGTTCCTATAGAAGAAGCAGTCAGTGAGCTGAAGGAGCAGCTGAAATCTGACTTAAAGTCTCTGCAGGACAAGAGGAACAAACACAAACAAGTGGAGAAAACATACGATGATGTGATTCAACACTCCAAGAAGCAGGTGTTGTCCACAGAGAGACGGATCAGAGCAGAGTTCAACAAGCTCCACCAGTTCCTGAGAGAGGAAGAGGAGTCCAGACTGGCAGCTCTGAGGGAGGAAGAGGAGCAGAAGAGGAAGACTATCATGGGAGAGATGAAGAGGATTGATGAGCAGATCTCCTCTCTGTCAGACAGCATCTCTGCTGTTGAAGAAGAGCTGCAGAAAGACAACATGTCGTTCCTCAGCAGTTATGAAGCCACTCAGAGCAGAGCCAGAGGTCAGAGGTCACTGCCAGATCCACAGCTGGTCTCAGGAGCTCTGATAGATGTGGCCAAACACCTGGGCAACCTGTCCTTCAGAGTCTGGGAGAAGATGAAGGACCAGGTGAAGTTCAGTCCCTTCATTCTGGACCCAAACACAGCAAGTAGATGGATCCATCTGTCTGATGATCTGACCAGTTTGAGACGTGGAGACACAGATCAGCAGCTTCCTGATAATCCAGAAAGAAACACTAAATATAACAATGTTTTTGGTTCTGAGGGCTTCAGCTCAGAGAAACATAGCTGGGATGTGGAGGTGGGAGATCATCCTCGCTGGACTGTCGGTTTGGTTAAAGAGTCTGTGGACAGGAAAGGAGAAATATCTGGTTCACCAAAAAATGGAATCTGGCGTTTAAGGCATTGTGATGGAAAATACTGGGATGGTGATGGTGAAACTCTCACAGTGAAGAAGAGTCTCCAGAGGATCAGAGTCCAGCTGGACTATGACATGGGGGACGTGTCCTTCTATGACTCTGAAGACATGACTCTCATCTGCACTCACAGAGACACTTTCACTGAGAAACTCTTCCCTTATTTTACTGTAGGAGCAGCAGGTGATACCAAAACATCTGAGATCAAAATATGTGAAACTAAGATTTCTGTTTAAAGACAGCTCAAAGTTTTGTTTTTATTTTTACCGAATTATTCTGAATGAAATTCTGGGACCTTGCAAAATATAAAACTTTACATTTCATGTTTAAAGTATTAAGCCATCAACTTCCACACAATATTTAAAAATGTTTTGTGACAGAGAAGGGTTATAATTTAAGAGGAAATAAGAACATTTATAAAACAATGAGAAGATATTTTGTATATCAGTGAGTGGTAGATTTATGCAATTTATTAAATGATGAAAGTACAAATATAAACCAATTAAAAAAAACTATTCAAAAATATGTTGTGTAGGATGTGTATCACAACGACCAAAAATACTTCTAATGATATTACAAATGGATAAATATTTGCACATTTAAGGATAACAATAATTTGGGGGATAATTAAAGAGTTTATCTGATGTGGAGATATAAATGTTTGTAGGTTGATAAATATGAGAGGGGCAGGAATTTATGTGATCATGTTTCTTCTATCTTCTTTCTTCCCCCGATCATATTAGATAAAATTACATGCAATGGACGTGATAATTTGTTTTATTTTTTTTCTGCTTTTATTTGTTCCCTGTTGAAATAAATAAATCAATCTTTCTATTTACAATGAACCCAACTTTCTTCTTAAATCCTTCATTAACATACTTTGTATTTTATAATTTTTAAGGTTTTCAAACATTAGTAAAAAATACAAAATCTTATTAGATAACTTATTCAGCCACAGTCAAATATTTCATCATAATCAGTCTTTATGTTTGGTAGAAGGGAAAATGCAGAAAACAGCAAAAAGAACAAGGAAATAGGATTTAAATTATTTATCTGATTCACTTTAGTTATGCTATATGTTGGGTTTTATATGTGGAGTTTGTCAAAGGATTGTGTTTGGTTTTTCTTCTTATAGTACATTTTCTCTTTTCTGTACTCAGTTTTAATCAAAATGTTTTGAGCTTTCACTGAGTTTAGTCCCAGAGGTGCCAAATGTAAAGAAAAATGAATTAGTTCATAAATTAAATTAGTTTACTTGTCAAATCTAATTTTATTTAATGAATACCTTGTCCAAGATCCTAAAGCAAGTCTAAATCTGTTACACAACATTTTAAATAGGAAAGTAAAATCTGTGATGCTAACAAATGAAATGAATAATTTCAGCGTTGGATGTTTTCTTTCTGAACTCTGGTACCTTTTATAATAAAACTGAAATATTTGTTTAAATTCTAATTGATTTGTTGCTTTGTGCTTTTACTCCATTGTTAATTTGTATTTTAAACATTTTAAGATTCTGTATTTTAAACACAAAAATTATTTTCAATTATAAATACTGAATAAAATACTTTTCCCTTGTTATAAAAATCTGCCATTGGAATATAGACTTAAAACCAGATCTTTCTGAAAAGCTACTTGTAAGTTAGTTTGGTTTTATTTAAAGTGTACTGAGATTCTTTTACTGGAAACTAAAAAAATTAACAACATTTTGTGTTCAGCTGGTGGTTGTAAAACACAATCAATCAGTTTATTTATGAAGCACATTTCCGACAACCTCAGCTGAACAAAATGCTTCACAATACTTATAACTTTACAGACAGATATACAATCAATTAATAAGTAAAATTAAGCATAATAAAAAAGATGTATTAATAAAGTTGACAGTAAAATATCAATAAAATAATAATGTAAATAAAAATCAAGGCTTAGTTAATTTCAGTTCCAGCAATTTCCTGATAACTCAACTTAATTAAGTATTAATCTTTTTCTGTTTTTTTAATTGGTGTTGAAGTTGTCTCAGTTTTTCTGCGAAATTAAATAAAACAAAACCAGAAGAAGATGAAAGAAATAATCAAAATACAAACACTGATGAAACACCAGAAATGACATTTGAATAGTCAAAGTTCAGAATGCAGCTGTTGCCACCAGAACAGGAAAACCTGAAGACAAACTCAGCGACCTGCTTCACCTGAACCGAACATTCAGATATTCTGAGGTATTGAAAGTAATGAAATTGTTAAATTTAGTTTACTTCTTGAGTCATTGTAAATAGTTAAAAAAAAGGAGGGACGTTCATTTCTGCCCCCCAAAAAATCTCAGAAGTTCTTAAGAAAGTTTTGAAAATTTGATACTTGCTAGAAAAACTCAGAAATTTTTAGATACAGTTTTAGAGTTTTTCTAGAAAAAAAAATCTACTTTTCAAACTCAGAATGATCTATTTATTTATATTTTTTTGTTTTGGCAAAAATTTACTCTTCCTTTTAGTTTCTGTCTACAATGGCTCTAATATGCTGTTGTAGTTTGTGGAACTATTGTCATAAAACTAATCAGGCCAAAAATGGGTATAAAACTTTTAGAGACTGATCAGCAGATGGCAGCAGAGAGCCTCCCAGAGCTTTTAGCACCAATAAACCTTAAGCTTAGCCAGGTGCTGTCCAAAGTGAGGCCCAAGGGCCATTTGTGGTCCATGTACTGATCTTGTGCGGCCCCTGAATGTTACAAATTTGTCCCACATCTGAAAGTTTTTTGAAGCGGCTCATTTTCCAGACATGAAATTGGCAATACAAACAGAGCCAGCTGTTTGTATTGCCAAACAGCTGGCTCAGGTTTTTTTTAAAACCATTTTTTGATGTTTTTAGAAACAGTTGAGACCCAAATGGAAGCACAAAAATGTGCAAATGTGAATTTTGCAGAATAGGTCCCCTTTAAGGAACTCAATATTACTACAGCTGCATCCCTATTGATAAATTTGTTTTTGCTTTCATAATGTTGATTGAAGTGAAGAGTTAATGGTAAATAATGGTATCTGATACAACTAGAGTATAAGAATGATTTGGCTTTACAAAGCCACCACTGGCAGTTCCACAGGGTCAAGTGAGCTGAGAATGATTTTATTGTTTTGATAAATCAAATCCTTTTGGGTTTCCTGCTACATGTTTGTTTGCTGCCTAATGGATTCAGGCAAACCTTCTTCACGTTTTATTGACAAACACATCCACCAGAGTTGGTATCCGACTCCTCAGATTCACATCATCATGAATGTCCAGAACGATTTTCTTTTGATTCATATGACATTAGAAAAGTCTTTTTTTCAGCTGAACACCTGCTAGACGTCTTCCTATATACAGTAAAGATACTAAATATGTAACACTGAATGTAGAAAAACTTAGGAAATTTTTTCTTGTGGGTTTAGTTTTTAAATCTTAAAACTTGGAAAGAGTGAAAAATATTTATAGAAATGTTTGTAACCAATGTCATTTGTCGACAGACTTTTCTTGGAGATATGTTTTGTAAAATATACAGGAAGTGCTCCACTGTTTTGATTTTGATGATGCTTTAAAAAGTGATGATAAAGTAAACTTGTGCTGTTTTCGGCTTACGCTGTTTTAGTCTTGTCTTGTTATTTTACTTTATTTTTCATTTTGTTTTGCTTTTGCTTGTTTTTTCCAGCATTGTTTTTTATTTTTCCTTTTTTGACTATTGTGTGTAAAGGTTAAAAAATGACATAAATAAATAAATAAATAAATAAATAAATAAATAAATAAATAAATAAATAGTTTGATTTGTATTAATGTTAAGTCATTTATTTTCTTACATTTATGTTTTACAGTCTTCATAGTAAAATACTTAATTTTCACATTTTGGTCGTAGGATTAACTGACATTCTTATCTCCACCCACTGAAACCAGTTTACTGTTTAAGCGTAAGACAAAAATGTTGTTTATCGGGTTTACAGTGGAGTGAGAATGAAATGCTTTCTCACTTCAACAACTACCAAACTACACACCTTTTTCATTCAAAAAGCCTCTTAGCAAATTCTTTTTACTTCTTTTTCTCTGTTCTCAACCAATAAAACGGTTAAAGAAAACAGCAGCTTTAATTACAGGGAGAATAACACAGGAACAAAAGAGGAGGAAAATATTTATCTGTGTCACCAGAGCTTGTCTGACTGGTAAAACGTCTCTGAGTTGTCAGACAGAATGAGAGGAATGATCCTCGCTGCTGAACAGAGCTGAAACGCCACCACAACATGGTGGATCGCTGTTGAAAAAGACGCTGGACCGGAGTCAGAGCGGCAAAGAAACGTTTTATTGGTGAGTCCACATACTGCTACTTTGAGACAAAAGACAAGAAGAAAGATTTTTTTTTATTATTTGCTTCAAGATCCGTTGTCTTTAAAAACAAAAAGGATCATCTAAAGGATGATCTAATATTGAAGAGGGTGAATTTTTACAATGAAGGAACTGACCGACTCTTTATCTGGAAGACAGAAAACGTCATCTGAGAGAACAAAACAAGCTAAAATGGGGCTGTGCAGTAAACATCCAGAGGTTCCTCATTTATTCTGTGAAGACGAGCAGAGAGCTGTGTGTCCTGTCTGCGAGTTTTCTCTCCACCAGAACCACAAAGTGGTTCCTATGGAACAAGCGGTCGGTGGGCTGAAGAGGGAGCTGAAATCTGACTTAAAGTCTCTGCAGGACAAGAAGGAGAATTACAAACAAATGGAGAAAACATACGATGAAATGACCGGACACATCACAGATCAGGTGTCGTCCACAGAGAGACAGATCAGAGCAGAGTTCAACAAGCTCCACCAGTTCCTGAAAGAGGAAGAGGAGTCCAGACTGGCAGCTCTGTGGGAGGAAGAGGAGCAGAAGAAGAAGACGATAAAAAAGAGAATAAAGAAGATTGAGGAGCAGATCATCTCTCTGTCAGACAGCATCTCTGCTGGTAAAGAAGAGCTGCAGAAAGACAACCTGTCATTCCTGAAGGGTTACGAAGACGCACTGAGCAGAGCCAGAGGTCAGAGGTCACTGCCAGATCCACAGCTGGTCTCAGGAGCTCTGATAGATGTGGCCAAACACCTGGGCAACCTGTCCTTCAGAGTCTGGGAGAAGATGAAGGACCAGGTCCACTTCTGTCCCGTCATTCTGGACCCAAACACTGCCAGCCGATGGCTCTCTCTGTCTGATGATCTGACCAGTGTGAGACGCTGCGAAACGAAGGAGAAACTTCCTGACAACCCAGAGAGAAACATTAACTACACCAATGTTTTCGGTTCTGAGGCCTTCGGCTCAGGGAAACACAGCTGGGAAGTGGATGTTGGAGATCATCCTCGCTGGAATATCGGTTTGGTGAAAGAGTCTGTGGACAGGAAGGGAGAGACCGATGCTTTGCCCAAATATGGAATCTGGTGTTTAGTCCACAGTGATGGAAAATACATGGATGGCGAAGCTAATGTTGTCACAATGAAGCAGAGTCTGAGGAAAATTAAAGTCCAGCTGAACTATGACAGAGGGGAAGTGTCCTTCTACGACTCTGAAGACATGAGTCACATCCACACCCTCAGAGACTCTTTCACTGAGAAACTCCTGCCTTATTTCTGTGTTGGAAAAACTGGAGAAGTGGAACCTACAAGTATCAAAGTCTGTAAAACTGAGATTAATTTTTAAGCATCACATAAACCGAGTGTAATGTTTGAAAATGAATGTTTTTTGTTCTTTTCTGAGAAGAAAACAAGAAACTTTGACATCAGTTATAATGTTGAATATTATAGCAGACACCTTCAGACTTCTAAAACCAGACGTAGTTCACCCAGAGGATCCATTCATTTATATTTATGTTGTATGAATGTCCCAGTATGGAGACAGAAACATTGTTTTATTTCCTGTTTTTAATGCTGCTGTACTTAATAAACCTGAAATCATAAACTAATGGAAATAACTTGGAATAATAGACGTTAATGTGCATGTGTGTGGTCTTAAAAATGTTTACTACATTTATAATTTACAGTCATAAGATGGCAGCTGGCCAACACAAACACTGTCTTGAAGTTTGTAAAATAATCAATAAAGGATTTATTTTGTAGCTTTTTATTTTTTACTAGGTTGATGCTTAGAAGAGGTTGGACCTTTTTAGCTGTGGCTTCAATGTTACAGAACAATTTGCTATTAAATATTAGACATGCTTCTTTTCTTGCTGTTTTTAAGTCTATTTTTTAAAAAACATTATTTTCAGTGGCTTTTGGTACAATATGAGTTGTTTCTGTTTTTATTTTAAACAATTTTTGCTGAAATTTTATTCTGTTTTTGGTGTTTTCATTTTTACATTTTATTATTATTTGTTTCTTGATTTCTTGATCTGTTTTAGTACTGTACAGCATGTTGGTTAAAATGTTGTTTTTAAATGTAATTTATGAATAAAATGAATTTGGATTGGTCAATGAAGCTACTTGATTTTATAAACTTATTCTTCAGACTTTAGGAGTTAAAAGAGAGATTAAAAACTCTGATAGCATACTGACAAACAGCATACCAGCATGATTGCAAGATTACAAAAAACAGTTAAAATAATGTATTGCTAAGTTAGTGGAGAGGTTATGAGCAGTCAGTAACTTACCTCAAATAAGAGATTCAACGGCATTTTTTAAAAAGCTTTGGGAATCAGTGACATTCCAAAAAAACTAAAAAAGTTGAAAAGAAATTGGCAGTGACTCAGAAATGCTGAAGAAATTACAAATATTCCATTCATGTCCTGAATGTGGTCAACAAGGGACAAAAATAGTTTTTCCTTCACATCTGGACAAAGATGTAAGGCTGTAAAACTTTTCTCAGATGTCGTCTGATGAAAGTAAAATTGAACTTTGAGCCATCATTCAGCTGGACAAGATTTTTGTTGAAGTAGATAAAAAAATCCAAATACCATCTAATGAGCTTTGACGTAAAACTTTCTGTTGTTTGCTTGAAAACTGAAGATGAAAAGATATTTCAACAAAAGAATGAAGAAAAGTTACTCAATGGCTTAGAAAAGTTGACAGGAACCACCTGAAGGTGGCTCTGGACATCAGATGTTCTCACAATCTGATTGATTTGGAAAACTTACTAAATCAGCAAATTTTCCAAGTGAAGAAGTGGGATGTTGATCATTTTCATTAGTTTATCATTGAGCACGACAGTTGTTCCAGCTGTCAATTAACCTTTGAATGCTTTGCTAAATGTGTTAATGACAGAGAAACAATTCACCACCATAGGAAAACCGTTTATCCACCAACATCAATGACCTTGCTAACTAGCCATAGCATTTATGAAAGGCTCTGCTAGCTGCAGCATAGCAGATAGTAAATGAAGAGTGAGAGGGGGAGATGAGCAGCGCCACATGTAGAGTGATTGACAGCACTAAGACATTTCTCCTGGCTCTAATTAGTTGTTTTTAGTTAGCAGTTTCTTCACTGATTATCTGTTTCATATCATACTGTCACAACATAGTGGCAGTTTCAACAAATATTCAAAATAAATATATATTTTATAAAAGTTAAATACTGCAGCTTTAAAGCCCATGTTGAATGAATGTAAACTTCAGAAAGAAGGCTTGGCAGTTTGCTTCTTGACTCAGCATTTAACCTGATGGCTCGCAAAGATGGGAATGTTCACAATGAAAGTAAAGCAGAACAGGTTTCTTTAAACGGCTCAAGGAACAAAATGTCGTCTGTCCTGTTTATGGTGAGCTGAAACAAACTCTTTATCTGTAGAATGTTTGCAAAATTTGGCACAAACTTTAATTTCTAAACCCCTAAATGTCTTTATGTAAAAAATAATAGAAGAAATGTTAAAAATGTAAAAATGAAATTTATCTGTATTGTTTTCAGCTTTTACAGTACAAGGAACTTTAACGAACAAAGAAAAACAATTACACAACACAACTTGTCTGACTGGTGACACGTCACTGTGAATTAAAAGCAACGCAATCGTTTCTCTCCACAGACAGACCCGATCCACCATCACAGGAACATCATCGCTACACGACCTCAACATTCGCAGGATATCACACTCCAAACGAATCTGTGACTCCTTTTTCCTGAAGACAACAGAAGATGGCTGAGTCGGCTATTTTTCAAAG